GGGGATCTTTCCCTGAGGTTAGGGAGGGGATACAACCCCTTAATTAAGTGCCAGGCGGGTAATTAAGCTACATGGTCTTTACTCCCTGGAATGGAGATGAGAAACACCTTAACCCTTGTAATAGAAATTGACAGGATTGGAATCGGCTGGTATAAATACGGATGTAATAGGACAATAAACGTCAGATCCTCATCAGTTCCTGACCAGAACTCCGACCAGAACTTTGACTGGAGATCCTGGCTATAGGTCCTGACTAGGCTGCTGACCAACTGAAGGCTGTCTTCGTGTCATTCCTTCTTCGCCGACTCCATCCACACCTTTGGGGACCCCTGGACCTGCTGGGATTGGACCCCAGCAGGGGGGTATTATTTTTTTCTACAGGAGGTGGCAAAACATGAAATACTTTTTTCCTTAATAAGGGTTAAGTGACTCTAGGTCTTTCCATAGCTTAAATGTGCTCTACATTTAGTTTATAGAATTTGGGTTGAAATACAGTTGGGTGAGACTTTAGCATGAAAGAGAAACAGAGTAAAGTTTGCTTTCCTCCAACTCACCACATCTGGCTTTCTCCAGACCATTCACTCGCCCTCTACAAACTCACCTGCAGTGTCTATTTCTGAGTTTAGAAGAGAGTACGAAGTAGGGAGGGCAGGGAAGGACAGGACATTGAAATTAAAGGTCTATCTCTGTCTCTCTAGACAACTGCTTGTATCCTCTCCAACTGAGAGGAAGAATCTTTCTCATTCTCTCATGGCTCCTCTCCCCCCACCCCGCCACCCCCGACCCCCCCTTCCCCCGGAAAAACAAGCACACCACTGTAGTCCTCAGGGCTTCTGCATAACTTAAAAGTTAAGGAGTACACTTTTCATTTCATTGTAATGACTTTGAACCCAGATGTTGCTCAAGAAGTAAAATGGCCAAAGTGGCTCAGTGGTTGAGCATTGACCCAGGAACCAAAGGTCACTGGTTTGATTCCCCTGTCAGGGCGCATGCCCGGGTTGTGGACTCCCCAGTAGGGAGCGTGCAGGAGGTAACAGATCAATATTTCTTTCTCTCTCCCTCTCCCTTCCTCTCTCTCTAAGAAATAAATAAAAACATCTTTTTAAATGAAAAAAAAAAAAGAAAAAGCCCATGATGGTTAAAAAAGAAGTAAATATAGGTGCTACTAACTTGAATATATCCTGTGATAAGAACTGCAACAGCGGTTCCAGCATAGTAACTGGCAAATTTGATCATTTCACTTTCAATGTCCAGCAACCTTCAAAAGAGAGAGAAAATGTTAAGACTCACAAGAAGGATCAAGCTACCAAAGATTACATTTGTGGGTACAGAGAAATTTAAAATACACGTATTATACGTTTCTACTAAATATGGACAAGGCTTTTTATCTAAATAGAATTATGGACAATCCAAAAAAAAAATCCCTAAATAGATCTCAAGGTACCAATCACAGCTGAGATGCCTACCCCCTTCATTTTTGCAGGCCCAGATGCTAGGGTGTGAAATCATCAATCTGCAGTTGTTGGAAGCCCGGAGGTCCTCCATGGCAACCCAGTGCTCTGTCCACTGAGGCCCCTTTCACTGGGGTTCTATGTGCAGTGATAGAGCCATCACAGCCACAGGGAGATGTGTGCTGTAAATCAGGAGGCTTGCTGTTCCTCCTTCAGGAATCTAAGCCGCTTTGCAAGTCCTCCATCTCAGAGTGACACTGTGAGGAATGTGCAATGTCATCTTCCCACAGAGGCAGAAAAACACTGTATTAGCAGAGCCTTTCTGCTGACTACAGCTCAGGAAGCTTCACTCTCCAGGGCGCTTTCTAAGGTTGAAGCCAAAGAACTTATGGGGAACAGCAAGAAAGCTCCACAGCATTTTCCAGCACAGCTATCATGCTGTGGCATAGGGTTTGGGGCAGGGAGGGGAGGAAATCAGGAACTTTATAATTAGAAAACTAACATATTGGTTGATGACTGTCCTGATCCTCAGGGACAACTTAAATGATATGGAGTCCATTTCTTTAGAAAATCAGAAAACAGCATCTTCAGCATAGATGCTCTCACCCCACAAGCTTCCTGCTTTCTATCAGAACTTCCTTTTGTGACCAGGCTGGAAGTGTTCTCTCCTCTACTGACCTCAAACCAAGTATCAAAATATAATTCATTTAATTCAGAACAGACTGTTATCTATGACATATTCTATTGCCACCTTGCACTATTTTTCAATACCTTTATTGAATACATTTACATCGAATATATATATACATATATATATATATTAGAGGCCTGGTGCACGAAATTCATGTATGGGGGGGGGGTCCCCTCAGCCCAGCCTGCACCCTTTCCAATCCGGGACCCCTAGGGAGATGTCTGACTGCCGGTTTAGGCCCGATCCCCAGGTAGTCGGACATCCCTCTCACAATCCGGGACCGCTGGCTACTATCTGCTCACCAGCCTGCCTGCCTGATAACCCCTAACTGCCCTCCCTGCCAGCCTGATTACCCCTAATGCCTCTGCCTGCTGGCCTGATTGTCCATAACTTCCCCCCTGCCAACCTGGTCACCCCCAAATGCCCCCTCTGCTGGCCTGGTCATCCCTCACTTCCTCCTCTGCTGGCCTGGTCGACCCCAATTGCCCACACCTTTTGACCTGGTCACCCCACGTAGCCTGCTGTTCAGTTGTTTGGTCGTCCCTCACTAACCCTATTGCCGGCCTAGTCGCCCCACACAGCCTGCTGTTCGGTTGTTACTGTGACGGGGTCCTGGACAATTTGCATATTCCTCTATTATTAGTATATATATATTTGTTTTCCATGCTAGTACATTGCAAGCTACTTGAGGCCAAGGACTGGGTTTAAGCTGCTTGCTCACACTGCCTGAAGCCTGGTACAATATCTTCCACATAGTAGGTACTTAATAAATGTTTTTGGATTTTGCTTTGACTTTGAAAAAACTAGTGAAAGGGAAATAACTGCCTTGGCCAACCCCTCTGACAATCTCTAAACCAGCTAATAAGTCTGTGTTCACCCCATTCCAAGGTTTTCGTAATGATTTAAGGGAACCCTGAGAATGAACAAGACCTAGAAAATCATAAATGTATATATAAGTATCCACGGTCAGAGGCATTTACAAAAGCTAACGATAGAGTGTATAATGAGTAAAGCCTTCTAATGCATAAAGGAGTCCATACTCTGAATTCTTTGTTTGTGAAATGAAACTTGGGTGTCCACAAACAGAAACCTATGAGCATTTGTAAGAAAGCTTTACTTAGCCTTCCTATGGTGCATTCATTCTACGGACGCTTTAAGCAGAGGTGATTTAGTGCCTGTCATGAAAGACACAGCTGCCAGTTATAAACAAACCTACGAGGATTTACAGAACTGAGCACCTAGCCAGCCCCGGGATTTACTGGAGCGAAGGTCAGGAGAATTTCGTCATCGCTGAGTGGTGTGGATAAGGGCACGTGCAGTTTATGATTCTTTTCACTTCTGAGGCACCTCAGAGATAGATGACTAACTCGTTTCTGTGTTATTCTTGGGAAGAAAAAGTTATCAGTTTTAGAGATTACTTGAGAATATTTCTGGAACAACAGGACAAACCTCTCAGGAAAACTGACAGGAAGGAAAAGAGAGGCTGGCCTAGTTCCTTTGGCTGCACATCAAACTCTGCATCATGTGCCTGGTGGAAAGTTCTTTTGATTATAAAATCCTGGAAAGGATTCTATAAATTGTGCAGGTGATTCCGACCCCAGAATGGCACCTTTTTTTTAAACAGCAAAATTAACTTACATCTACTTAAATAAATTAAGATTCCCCTGACTCATTCGTTGAAGAGAGGAGAGGGGAGTGAGGACAATTAGAGGGAAAGGAAAGAGATATTTTACAAATTATTAATATATGAGGATTTTTACCTTGCTTTTTATAAAAAAATAAATGCATCATGAGAGTGAATCACTCAATTTACACCTCCCAGTTCCATATTTACTAGAGCCATAGGTTTTTCACTTAAAATACCTAGGAGGCCATTATGACAAGGTGCATTGCTTAGCGAGGAGTTTTTCTTTCAATGGTCCTCATGCCCTGTAGACATAGGAGCACTGGCACAGTAGAGTGGACATCCATGTCAGCTCTAAACTGAGCATCACGATGCAGCAGAAACGTGTTCATGTCCTAGCTTCAGGGTGTTGGAGGCTCTGTATTCCCTAACGCAAGGGATATGTTGCTAGAACACCCACACATGAGGGTAGCATACTGCCAAAATGGCTATGTCTTGCTTCCAGAGAACCCACAACCATTTTATTTCCACCCAGGAATCTACTTTTTGTTTATTTTTAATCAAACTTTTTATTTTGAGATAAGTATAGATGAGGATGCAATTGTGAGAAATATTGCAGAGAGATTATGTATGCCCTTTTCCCAGTTTCCCCCCCAGTGGTACATCTTGTGAAGCTATAGGACAGTCTCACAATCAGGATGTTGAAACTGAGTAATTAAGATCAGGGCAGTCTCATTGCCACAAGGATTTATCATGCTGCCCTTTTATATGCATCCATGCTTTTATGTGGCCACTCCTCCCTTAACCACTGGCTACCACTAATCTGCTCTCTGTTGTTATAGTTTCGTCATTGGAAGAATGTTCAATGGAATTACACAGAATGTAACCTTTTAGGATTGGGTTTTATTTCAATCAGCATAATTCTTTCAAGTTTCATCAACAGCCCATTCCTTTTTATTGTTAAGTAGTATTCCACGGTATAGATAAATTACAGCTAGTTTAACCCACTCACCTATTGAAGGATGTCTGGGTTGTTTCCACTTTTTGTCTATTACAAATAATGCTTCTATTTTTTTACATTTAAGTTCATTTCTCTGGGACAAATCCCCAAGAGTGGAATTGCTGAGTCATATAATAGTTGCATGCCTACCTTTTTAAAAATTGCCAAACTGTTTTCTAGAGCGGCTGCCCCATTTTACATTCCCACCAAGGTATGGGTGATCCAGTTCCTCCATATCCTCACCAGCAGCTGGTGTTAATCACTATTTTTTATTTTAGTCATTCTGACAGATAAATACTGATTTCACTTTGATTTTAATTTGCATTCCCTAACCACTAGTGTGAACATCTTTTCATGGGCTCATTTCCCATCTTTATATCCTTAGTGAAATGTCTGTTTGTGTCTTTCCTCCATATTCTGAATTTTTTTTAACTATTGAGTTTTGAGAGTTGTTTAGTTATAGACCTTTGTTAGATATACAATTTGCAAATACATTCTCCCGGTCTGTAGTTTGTCTTTTCATCCTCTTAACAAGGTCTTTGTAAAAATTTTTATTTATTAATTTTGAGAGAGACAGAGAAGCATCCATTTGTTGTTCTACCTATTTTTGCACTCATTGGTTGATTTTTCTATGTGCCCTGACCAGGGATTGAACCCAGAGCCTTGTCATACTGAACAGTGCTCTAACCAACTGAGCTACCTAGCCAGGGCAGTTAACATGGTCTTTTGTAAAGCAAAGTTTTTAATTTTGATGAAGTCCAATTTATCAAATTTTATCTTAATGGCTTATTTTTGGTGTCAAGCCTAAGCACTCTTTCTCTAGCCATAGAAAATGCTCTCCAATATATTTTTCTAAAATTTTACAGTTTATTTTTTACATTTACGGTCATAATCCATTTTGAGCTAATTTCTGAATATGTTTATGTTTGGGATGTCCAATTACTTCCCCACCATTTAATAAAAACTTTATCTTTCCTTCATTGAACTGCTTTTCCACCTTTGTCAACAAACAGTTGGCCATATTTGCGTGGGTTTGCATTCTCTATTCTGTTCCTCTGTCAATATCATACTGCCCTGATTATTATGGCTATGTGATATGACTTAAAATTGGGTATATTGTTTTCTCACACTTCATTCTTCTTTCTGAAAATTGTTTTAGATATTCTAGTTCTTTTGCCTTTTAATGTACATTTTAGAGTTATCTTGTTTATATCTATAAAAAATCTTATTTAGATTTTGATAGAAATTGTATTAAACATGTATATAAATTTGGGAAAATTGACATTGTTACTGTACTGAATCTTCCAATTGATTAACACAGTAAGTGTCTCCATTTATTTTGGTCTTCTTTGATTTCTTTTATCAGCATTTTGCAGTTCTCAGCATACAAATCCTGTACATGTTTTGCTAGGTTTACACAAGTAAAAGTTACATAAGTAAAAGTTTTTAAGTAGTTATAAGCATTATATTTTGAATTTTGGTACCCACATTT